ATAATAATAATAATAATAATAATAATAATAATAATAATAATAATAATAATAATAATAATAATAATAATAATAATATAATAAAACTAATAAGAACGATGCTATATGTATTCACTATTTACATTTTTACCGATGCTAACTTAAAACATTCGACTTTGTTTATATCTACCAGAAATTTTATGCCAATAAAAAGAACCAACCACTATATCTATTAATGCATTGACATATTTAATAGTATCTTGATCTATTTCCAAACTAAATCGCATTAATTTGTCAACAATTTCTTTCATTTGAGCCATTCGATTATTTGCTAACATCACCGCGTAATCAATAGCTTCTCGTAGGGAATATTGATTTGAATATTGTAAAACTACAATGATATTATCAACTTCGCTTTCCGTTAATTCTTTTTTAAACGAGTAAAGGTCATTAATAAAGCATATATGGTCATTGCAATAATTCATAAGATTTTGCAAATCTAGATTATCGTGCGAAATTTGTACTTCGAGAAGGGGTTCGATCAAATTAAAACTGGTCATTACTGCTCCTGAATTCCTTCTGATCTTGGAATATTCTTCTACGGATTTAGGAAGATTACGTGAACAGTTATTAAGTGCATTTATATAGCATGCATCAAAATAAAGTGAAACGGTATTGCAAAATTTTTGTTGCCATTCTTCACTAGTTAATTTTTTCATTCTAGACCATACATCCCATAGTGCAATGGCAATTGAACTTTGTAAAACTTCTAGTTGTGGTTTATTATCTAAAATAGTTTTGAATTTATCGAGTTCTATTCTTATTTTTTCTGGGTTCCCTTTTAGAGTTTTTTTGTTATCTACCAAATCATCAACAAAAAATAACCAATTAAAGAAATCGACAGCAAGACAACGTCTCTCGAAGGATACAGTAGGAAATATGTAACAAATAAGTAATCCAAATTTACTTCCTTTAAACTCTTTATCCGCTGTCTTTTCCGTAATCAAATCAAACTTCTTTGCCCATTCATAACAATGTTTTTCGGTTTTTAATACTTCTTCCTTTGAAACATAAATATGCACCTGTAACGGGAATTCACATTTCAATAGTTTTAGGTTTTGATTTAGTTCATCAAGAGCATTTGTAGTACTATGTCGTGTATTCGATTGTGGTATTGCTCGAATTTTTTGCAATTTTTCTTTTTTTGGAATTTCTTTCCATTCTTCTGTTAGCTTGCTGTCCTTTACTTTTATTGTCTTTCTTTTGCTTTTTGGCATCGTTAATTAATAATCACGCGAGTATTTGGCTTTTTTAAAATTTGAGGTTAATTTATCTTTTTAATGACGCCATTTCATAATTTTATATCAATTTTCAAATTCTTAATGTGTGATATTTAATAATTCTTTGCACATAGGTGAGAAAAAACTTTTCGCCTAATTCTCACCAAATTCTTACCTAGTTTTCGCCAAATCAAAAATTGTGATCTTATGATTCATGAAAATGTATATCACTGTAAATCACTGAATTGTCTCGACACCGTTACGTGACTATGTGACTATGTGACTATGTGACTATGTGACTATGTGATTATGTGACTATATGACTATGTGACTACGTGGCTATGTGACTATGTGATTATGTGACTATGTGATGTGACTATTGCAGTTACCAATTACACTTAAATTAACTTACACTATGAATTGTTTTGGTTTAATTAATTATCATTACTTTTGTTTTTTAAAATTTCCGATTAGTTCGCATATATAATTAGCTTTCGTTAAAAAAATCATTATTGAATGAATAATGTACATACATACTTTATCCGATATTAGTTTTGGAATCTTACCGATTATTAGCAAATATTAATTTAATGCGATTTTTAATTTATTCTAAATTAATTCATTCATTAATTTTATGATAATTCACATCATTATTATTATCATTATCATCATTATCTCAATTTTTTTAATTTTTTTTTTTAATTTTTTTTTTGTTTAACTTACCAATCATTATAGAAGCTTCGAAATTTAGATCTGAAATTCGAATTATTATTTTTGGCAGCTTATTATTATTTAGGCCAGACCAATTTAATTCGGTAGTTTACATTACATCCATCTCACAAAAGAGGGAGGGAGGGAGTTTATTATAAATTTTTTTTCCAAAATGATCAGAAGGGGGGGGTAATGTAAACCACTGAATTAAATTGGCCTGGCCTTACTATCAATTCATTACCCAGCTAATACTTTATCCAATTTAAGATTTACACAAGAAATCTTAACTGATCTAAAATTTATAGGCATCGTAGTATAGTGTAAAGAATTTGGGGACTAACAATGTCATGTATATCGGGACTGGCCTAACAAAATGGTAGTCTGAAAATGACAAATATTACTAATGTTAGACCATCGCTAATTTGGAAATACGCTAGATTTAACTAATCTAATATATTAGAGTTTTTTTAATATATAAATCTCCGTACGTATATGTGAGTTTTGCAGTAGAAAGGGTGGAAACTACCCCAAAAATGAAATATGTTATTATTAAATTTGGGTAAATTCCGGCGTGGTCAATTTTTTTCAATTATAAATGAAAGTCGATTTGCATAATAAAAAAAAGTCAATGTAAAAGAAAAATTGTAAGGTCAAGTGCTTCACGAGACTACCCGTTAGTCACATGTTATTTTTAAACAATCAAAATCATGAAATTTGATTAACCCGGATCAGTGATTAAACTCAATTATTCCCCACTTTATTAATTGTTTTTTATGGGGATTTACGTGTTATTTTTGCAATGATTTATTTTTAAACTCAGTAGGGAAATAGCCTCCGGCCGTCAATTAATAAAGTGGGAGAATAAATAGTATTTATCTCCCATATAATCGGGGTTTATCGTTATTTACTTATTAAGAAATTAAAAATGCCGCTTTCATTTATTTATTCAAATAAAATGAATTCCCCAATCTATAACTTGTTTAACTTATTTTGGAATTTCAAATTTGTTTAAACTCATTATGTCAATTAACATTTATCTTATCATTTAGTATTTTTTTAAGTAATGATCATACGATATAAGACGCGGGTCACTCCTTGAAAATCTCTACATCTTTTATATAACCCGGTTTACATTTACAATAAGGTTTTGCTTGTTCGTTAATAATTTCAACAATCATGATTAGCATTTACGCGTTATTAGCAAATTCAACGATTATGCTTAATATTTTTGCGTTATTCGCAAATAATAGCGATCCACCTCCTCCCCAAATTTCAAATGTTAACGATTTAAAATTCATGAATAATGTTTCCACTTTATTCACAAATTCAATTTTAATGAATAATGTTTCCACGTTATTCTCAAATTCAAAGTTAATGAATACGTTATTCTCGAATAATAGCATTCTCAATTATTCAGATATCTTTATAATCTTATTTGTAGTCTATATCTTTCGTTTCTATTTTATTTACTTTACCCGTCCGAATCCTATCCCTGGTCCATTACCATTACCAATTGTTGGAAATTTATTTCAAATAGGTTTTTGTTTACTTACTTCGGTTAAAAAATTTCAATCGAAATATGGTGACATCTTTGAACTTTATATGTTTTCCGAACGAAATATTTGGTTATGTAATCCTTCATTAGTTGAAAAACTCTTTACAAATTCTACAAAAACAAACTTTTTTTGTAGAGCTTTATCTACTAATGGATTTAAAGAATTAGGAATGGATAAAGTTGGAATTGTTTTTAATAGAGATTTCGAAAGTTGGAAGTATAATCGTAGAATTTTAAATTATACTCTTGCAAATGTCAAAGTTTTAAAAGGATATATGGATGCTGTTAAAAATTTATTTGTAGAAGTTGAAGGTTATTGGAAAGATTTAAACTTTGAAAATAATAAGTCCAAAGAAATTGATGAATTTGTGATTGATTTTAGTCAATGGATGAGGAGATTTATAACTGACCTCGCTTTAAATATGAATTTTGGTAATCACGCATTTAGCATGGCTGGTTATCACAATTTTCTTTGCAAAAACAAAAAACATAAAACTTTTGAAATTATTGAATCTGAAAAATTCATTAAGAGTCTCGTGACATGGGTAAAACATAGTATGTTGATTAACTCTTTTTTTATAATTTCCTTACTAAATCTTTTTAAAATTTCTTTACTAATATTATTATTTTATGGTTTTTTATATCAACTTTAAAATTACTTTATTTTTAGTGATATTCATGACGTTTTGTCCTTCGAATTTCATTCGTCATTATATTCCTCCATTATCTTTTTTTCAACTAAAATTCCAATCAAATTATAATTGGTTGACAAATGAATTTTCTAGAATCATTCAAAAACGCTTGCAAGAAATTGAAAATGTACCTTTGGATAAACTCAATAAACACGACGTTTTAAATACATTATTAACCATTAATAAAGCTCAAGAATTAAATAGTAATAATGGAAAGGCTATAAACCCAATGAATGAAAGAGAGATTTTTGGTGTTTTACTCGAATTTTTTGTCGCTGGTGTTGAAACGGTATGCCACAAAAAATGCAACATGAAAACTATAGTTTGTCTTTATTTTATTTTTTTAAACAAAAATATTAATAAAATTTAAACATTATTTAGGTTTTAAGTCTTATATGCTTCATTGTTTATTATGTATGCAAACATCCCTCGGTAAAACAAAAACTTATTCAAGAATTTGATTCCGTATTTCCTACTACATTACCGTCAAGTGAAATCACTTATGAAAAACTTATGAATAATCTCCCTTATTGTGATGCAATTGTTAAAGAAACGAGTCGTTTAAAAACAAATCCTCCAATTAATCCTCGTGAACTTTATGAACAAGACGAAATTGGGGGATATACAATTCCAAGGGGTTCTACGGTAGTTGCATGTGCAGATGCCATTCATTTACATAAAGACTATTGGGAAAAGCCTACGGAATTTATTCCTGAGAGATTCCTGTCTAATGATTATCCATTATCCATGTCTCAAAAATTATTAACTTTTGGTGGTGGATTAAGAGGTTGTGTTGGTAGACAATTGGCAATGGTTGAAATTAAAACTATTTTGGTTTTATTATTTAGAAAGTATGATGTGATCTGGTAAATGAAAATGTGGATGCAAAAGATAAAACCTATCTTCTTAATAGTTGTAGTCAATTGATGATTAAGCTTAAACCTAGAGTGGTGGCTTAAGTTACTTTTGTTGCGAATGCTAGATTATTGTATAATTATTATTTTCATTGTTTATTAATCTTGAATTTCTTTCTTTTCTTTTTTTTTTTTTGGTTTTAAATCATTACTTTATAGCTTGTAATATACTTTTAAATAAAAATTTAATCTCATATCAATGTTTCTTTTTTGTCTGAAGCAAAGCGGGGGAATTGTGTACGTTGTAAAAGTGTAACCTGGCTCTAGTATTACTAAATAATACAATATGAAACTGAACACTCATAAAACAAGACCTAAACTCTCGAATTGGTAGTAAAGATATGCGTAGATTTTGTGAATTGTGTTATTAGGATCGATTTATTGTTAGCAAAAGAGATTTCTAGTAATGTTATTATGAGGAACTACAAATATAATTGTACATATAATACTAACTCTATACTGTTATCATGATTTGTGTATTATTATAAGAGGTGGCAAAGGGATATTATTTTTTATTTTAATTGTAATTCGACTTATCTTCTAAATTACTCCAGAAAGTATCGCTTATATATCTTTTCTTTATATGTTGATTCAGAATTCTTTCTGGCAGTCACTGACCTTACCCGCTGGTTATTAACTCTTTCCTTAAGTCAATTACTCTTTATCTTAGTTATTGACTCTTGCTGATAGTTAGCGGCTAATTGTTGATCCGATTTTGAAACCCTATAAGGTAGCTGTGCAACGCAGTCGCACTAAAATCAGGAACGGGAAATTACTTGAATGTGTTAAATTATTGGTGTAGTGATGAGCCACATTGATATACATTTAATATTAGGTACGTACGTACGTACGTACGTAACTGTTTACTTATCGTGTAACATACATTAGTATAATCTATTGGGCTTTGCCAACTGTGAATTTATTATTTTATAAGTTGTAAATTGTAGATGCAATAAAAAGGTGTAATATTTTAAATACAATGATATAAGTTAAGAGATGAGTTAGTAAAGTCGATTAGATGTGGTATAAAATGAGATAAGCATAGTTTATTAAATAATTCAAATATTGTTATTTCAGTATGTATGTATTTCGATTGAAATATGTACACATTATTCGGCAACAATTTTTGAATAATGGTAATTTGGTTCAAACGGGCAAATGAACATGTGCCGTGAAGCAGCACGTGTCAGCCAATCATTTGCCTGGTTGAACTAAATTACCGTTATTCAAAAATTTGCTGAATAATTGTCGTAGCGAATACCAGTGTAACTGTTGTTGGGGGAGCTTAATAGAATTATGTGAATAGAAGGCCAATTTAACTCCAATGGTGTACGTTGAGATGAAGACAACGAGAAAGTCGAAGTGGGTCTTTTTATATTTGTACCGAACAAAAGAGACAATAGGATGTGATAACGAATACTTTAATAATAATAAAGATTACGGGGGTGCAATGCAACTACAGGTGATGCAGTTAACAATGGTGATCGAGGGGTGATATCAGGAACAGTGATGATAGTTTAAGGATATTTAATTAAAGGTATGGGTTTCAGAGTAACAATAGGACAAAAGCGGATGAGGATCAAATAATACTGGGGTTACTTTAAGGCTAGGGTGTACAAATTTCCAATTTCATATAAAATAGATTGTAGATCAACTTTGTGTAATGAATTTTATATGATATCACATGTAAACATCATATGATATCACATAACTACCCAGTATCGCCACCAAAAAGTTACTATCACGTGATTTTAAACAAATCAGATTTCAAGATCAGGTGTAATGTTACACGATCAGAAAGTTCCAAAACAAACATTCGTTTTGTCAAAAATTGCCTGTAACTTGAGATTTTGCTTAGAAAACCACCTTCTATGCATTAACAAAAGTTTTCCTTGAGCGATTTTGCTATTAAAACCTCTAAACCCAAATTTTAGCATAGATCCTAACTCAAACCTAAATAAGCTTTAAAGAATTTATCAAAGATCATGTGATAGTAACTTTTTGGTGACGATACTGAGGAAGTGGATATCACATGTAAACATCATATGATTTGACCAATCAGAATTAGCAATTTTTTTGTACTACCTAGAAAAAACATATAATGACCTAGGAAAATTTAATTATATGCGAAGTTAGTTTTTTTTTTAAAGCAATGTATATTATGCAACTTCAATATTATAAATAAACTGTTTAAATTACATATTATATAAATTTTATACAAATTGGTTAAGATATTAAAAAGCTTTATTAGAAGCATTTTTTTATTTACTATATAAAAATTTAATATACCACATAGATCATATGAAAAATGAGGGATGCAAATCACTAACTCTTCCTGATGATCACTTGTACCAAACTTCTCTTAAAAACAATTGCTATTTTTTCAAAATTTTATTAAGTAAATCTTTTTTGGCTGACTAAGTAAAGTTGTTCTACACTTAATTTTACTTATAAGCAGCCTAGTTGTATAACTCTAAAACTCTTTGTTATAATTAAATATATAAAATTTATACTTTTACTGTTTACTTAAAATCTAATTAAGTAAACCACCTTTGTTCCTTAATAGAAAAAGATTAAGCTCAACTAGAGCTTTAATTTGATATATAATATATTAAAAATGGACAAATATTTCAGATTTTATTACTAAATTACTACAAAACTCTGTTATTAAAACTCTGTCTAATTTTTATAAAACTTTTTTTTTTGGTAGATTCTGCTTTCTCTAGAGCACCCAAACTTGCAGATCTCAATTACTAATCTATATTATTAATCAATTTATACAATACTAATCTTGTTTTATCTATTTTTATACAAATTTTAGCTTTTGACGATCTTGTTGATCTGCTGATCACTATACTGCATGACACCTTATCTGTTACACCCTATTATATATCACACTCTTATTTGTCACACACTTTATTTGTTATACTCTTCTCATTTGTCACATCTATTTTATTTGCTACACCTATTCAAATTCAAAATGTCTACTTTAGCTGATTCTCAAGAGCCCAACTCCTATAATATAGATTATTATTACTCTAAATATAGAGACCGCCATGACATAGGAATCTTAGAAAACAAATCACCTAATTATTGTAATATTAAAAATAACAATACTACTTCCAAGTATCATTACAACCTTCAATTTGCACATGTCTCTGTAGTAAATTCCATACTAGTTTTACCTCACAACATTATAAAATATGTCACCCAACACAAATTAGACAACCAATAGTAGCTACTAGATCAGTAATTTCAACTCAAGCCTTAATAAACAAAAAGAACTACTTTCTTCTTCTGTAACCAAAATACAACAAGCTGAAACTTCTACATCTTCAACTGCTTGTATACTTTTTTCTAGTTTTCAAACAGATCCTAGTTCTTGTCAAATTATTGAGTACTTACAATACTATCATACATATTACATCTACAAACTCAAAAATATTCACTGTGTCTACATTAATGAATAACAAAATCATGTACTTAACTATGTTACAGCATGCCTCTTCAAAAGAAACCTTATTCATTGAGTTTGTGTTTCTAAACTTTATGATTATAAACTTAAGCCAATTCACTGGAATGTACCTCTTAATTATCAACAAAAAATTGCTATATTAATTACAAAAATCTTTTTTATACTTGCGAAAAGCAAAATACAGCTTCTTAAAAAAATCTTTTCTAAAAAACATTTAGAACAACAAGAAAAATAATATGAACCAAAACAACAAGACCAACTTCAACAAGAGCAACAACAAGACAAACACAACAATTACAACAACAGCAATAAGAACACCAACAAAAAGAAAACTAAAAACAGGAACAACAACATCAAACTTATACTGAACAACAGCAACATCAAGAACCAAATGTCAAAAATAAAGGAAAACAAAAACAAAGAAAAACTACAAATAACCTAGACTAGTTTGAAGAATATCTAGTAACTGAAGAAATAGAAAATAATACCAAACTTAATATCCTCATTGCTCATCAACTATTTGATTTCATTAAATCTCATCTCATAGATGTTTATTTAGGAAAAATCACTCAACCTGCCAAGGATAACAAATCTGAACGAAAGTTTAATTATATGTATTTGGTCAAAGTTATGGTTAGCAAATGATCAGAATTTTTGACAAAACTTATATATGATTACAACTCTACTATTAATACATCAATTTCCATTCCTTTTGAACTATTACTTTCAACTTTTATTTCTTTACTTAAAGAATTTACTACTACACTATTCACAAAACTCAACTATCCTAAGATTTTTGTATCTTATGATTCTATTCCGCCATACTTCTTAGCTAATTGCAAACAAGTTGCAATCAACTTTGCTCACCTCCACCTCATTCTTCATAACAAATATAAAACTATTCTTTTTCTAATTCAGCTATCATGCCCTTGTTTATTTGGGATCAAGTTATTCAAAATTACAAGTAATTTATCTTTAACTAAAGTAGATTCAACCAAATGAAAAACTCGCCCACGTGATTTTATACACCAGGTGCGACCTGCCTCAGTAGCTCTTGGCCTCTCTCAGAGTCCTTAACTCACTAAGGACTTTTTTCCCGTTGTTCATCGGCTGGCGGCTACCCGCTTATCAAGAAGCAAAATCAGAAAATAAAATAAAAAAACACAGAGGTATAGAGGAATATGATAAAAGAATACAAAATACGAAAAAAAAGAGATAAAGGAATATCGAAAAAAAAAAAAAAAACAGAAATTTGCTAATATTAATGTCATGATTATCAGCCTGTGGGTGGCTTTGAAAAATTACATACTGACTAGACAAATTAGTCTCTACTTCTATTTTTCTCTAAAC